CCGCCCCCAAGGTCTGGCTCACAGACTCTTCAAGTCTGGCCCAGCACCTGCTTGACCCGAGTAACTGGTCGCTGCTGTAATTGTGTTGGGTTTAAAGCCTCCTCCTGGGCCGCCTGGTTCTCCCTAAGTGTGGGAGCTGGGGGTCCCCTCGCCTGGCCTGTGCCTCGTGTGGGTACAGTGTGCCCCCATCACTGTAGCCAGAGCTCAGGGCCCTTGTCCTCAGCCCACCTTCCTGGAGGGTGGTCATGTTTGAAAACTCTCTGCAATATGGAATTAAATGAGAAAACGGGACACACAGTTTTCCATACATTCTAACGACAACTGCCATCAGAGAGGAAGGCAGGAGTGAAGACGAGGATGGTGGCGTAGGCACGATTGTGGTTTACTGCTTTAAATTTAAAACTTACCTTTGTGGTTGTTACAAACGGCACGTAAAAACCAGGGAGAGAGAAGGGTGTCCCATATCCCCCTAGCCCTGTTCAGTACAAATCTGGGTAGTGGACACGGACACCCTGCCCCCGTCCTCCCCGAGCCTGGCCCACGGCCTCCTGGTGCCGACACTGTCTGGTTTCACCCCCCAGGTGGTCCAATTTCGATAGAAAATTCCTCAGCAAAATCCTTATGAGAAGGTCGGCCCAAAAGTCACGTGACAGAATCCTTAATGTTTTCCACGAGCTCAACTTGAAGGACGCCATCAGCTATGTGGCCGAGGTAAGGACGCTCCGCGTGTTGTCTGTGTGGGAAATGGGGCTGCAGCGGGACACAGGCACGGGATGTGACAGCCACTGGAGTTTGCCACGGGGTGGGGTGATGGGGCCGCTGCCAGGCCACAGTGAGCTCTTCTCAGTGGCCCACCCACAAGTGCACCTGGGCCCCCCGACACCCAGACGGGTTATGTAAAGGCACCCTCTCACTCACGGGGACTGAGGCACAGATCCTCTCCCCCGGGACTCTATGGGACATTGTGGCGCTGGTGGGTCTGACAGGTGAGGCAGGTGGGGTGTCATGGGCCACGGCTCCCAGCATGCACGCACACAGATGCACATGCACGCGTGAGGGGGGTGGCAAGGGTGTCTTCCCGAGTCCCCTGGGGTGAGCATGGGACGCCTGTGAACAGGCTGCGCTTCTGAGTTGGCCTCAGCACCTCCTGGTCCCTCCAGGTGAGCAGCACCCTCCTGCACCCCCAGCCCTGCCTTCTCCAGCTCTCTGAGAAGGCTTGCCAGCAGCGGGGCGCCCATGAGTCCAGGGTGTGGTGTCAGTGAGCAGGGTTCAGGGACCATATGGGAAGATGAGGGACAAGCCTGCTCTGCGGGCAGCCGCGGCCACCGTCAGGACTCAGGATGTGCTGGATGGGCGCGAGTCATGCTGGGTCTCAGGTCAGGTCGAGCCCCACCCCTCACGGCCACACGCCTGGGGGCAGAGCTCCCTAGCTTCTCAGTGCACATGTGTGACACCACATGGCCGTTACTGTGGTCACCAGGCCGCCTCTGCCACATGCATGTCCTCATGTGTGCCCCTGGCACCCTGCAGTGGCCTGGGTCCAAGCTCTCCGCTCCCCTTTCCCCAGCGTGGCCCATAACAGTGACTTGGCCTGCTGGGCTCTGGCACTCAGCGCCCACAGCACAGGCCCCTCAGAGCCCTGCCCAGGCCTCCGAGACCCCTGTAGATTTCCCACCATCCCTTGGTTCTTTCCCACACCGGCTGGGGACCACACAGCCTGGTCTGTGCTCCCGTGGGAACGGCGGTGTGCTCAGCAAACCCTGTGGCCTCCACACAGAGGACAGTTAGGGGCCTGGGAGCAGCTGCTTGTTCAGAGGGGAACGGCCCCAGCCTCCACCGGGCTCGCGTACCCCACATGCGCAGGCGCTCCACTGGGGACCCCTGAGCCAGCACTGCCTCAACCCTGCCGCGCTGAGACCCAAAGCGGCCACTGCAGGCCCCCGCCCCATGTGGGTGATGCAGGGCCCCAGCCTTTCCTCTGCCCCCCACATCCAGTGCCTCAACCCGACGCCTGCGGGCTCCTCCCTGCTTCAGGCCTGCACGGAGGCGGCGGCACCTGGGGGCGTGTGCACCGCGCAGTGCCGTGAGGGGCAGGGCATCAGGTCTGCCATGGCAGGCTGGCCCCACATGGCCACCCCTCCCCTCGGGGGTCCCCCAGCACGCAGCCTGCAGCACCCACAGCAGCTCGGCTGTGACTCTGCCCTGTGGGGTTTCCATCTGATTCAAGTCTGACGTGAGACCTGAGGGCTCCCTCCTTGGGAACGGAGCACAGCTGGCTTGGACCCCCAGTGGGGAAAGGGGCTGCTTTCTGCATCCCGTGCGTCTGCGTGCTTCCCAAAACTCTCCACGGTGCCGCTGAGGTGCTGTCCCTC